TCACTGACTGACACAGCATCAATGCAGAGCTCTGAATGTCTCTCGTTGCTTGTTGGAAATTGAAAGCTAAATCTCTGTTTGCTTCATTAAGGCAACAGCTCTCCTCTATGGAGGGCGTATCACCTCATAACTGGAGCTTTACCTGTTTAAGTGTCTTATAAATAAGATAAATGAGAATGTCAGGAAGTGGGGTGGGGAACATATGTGTGAATATGCTTGTAGAAGAGAAACTCAGAGGATGTTTAAGGTTTTTCTCACTTTCCATATCCTAAACATATATATTAATAATATATGCATGCTATGTTGAATTTCTTCCCACTATGTGCTGGTTACTTACATTCTTTTATGTTCCTTCATAACCCTATGAAACAGATGATATTACTATGGATAAGAAAGCTAAGGCTTAGGAGGTTAAGTAACTTGCCAAGGTGACGTGGCTGTTAAGCAATAAAGCCATATTGGCTTCCATCCAGTCACTGCAGAGGTTGGCTCTGAACTGTTCTACAGAGAGGCTACAAATCTAGACTGTGTGATTGAAAGTACACCCCTGGGGCTGTGCAAATGGTAGCCCTTCCACTCTGCTCTACTGCATTGGGCAAAGGGAAGAGTAGACTTAAACCTATGGCTCAGTTTGTTCTCTATTGAATGACTTTTGTCTGTAAATAGTATCCATTATGCATGCTGTAAGATCCTTGAAGGAACGGCAGCACTGGGAAAGAGAAGACAATTTCACACCGTTGTCATTCCTGTTTAGTGGAGACAGTTTATTGCAAGTCTGGCTTTTATAGGGCAATGCCAGATTGATTTATAGTCTTTTCTGTAAGAGAATGAAAGGAAGAGAAATTTTATTTAAAATGGAAAGATTCTTAAAGTCTATGGGAAATGAATGGGGTTTTCAAAAAGGTTAAAAATGTTCTCCTTTGACATTTTCTGCTATGTTGATATTTTCTGTGGTGTCTGGTGGGGGGGACCTTTTCTGTTTTGCTTTATGTTTGTCTCAAACCAAGCCCTTTGTTTAAAATATTTCTCTTTTTTTCTTTTACCCCCAACGTTTGTTATAGTTTCAGGGGTAGATGCGCAAGTTTGTTAAAAGGGAATGTTCTTTCCTATTTTTTAAGAGCATGTCTCCTAAGAAAGTATCAAGTTGTTCTTTAAGGTTAAAATAGAGTTGTTGGAATGATGTTTGCAGTTTTTCCTTGTTTAAAAAATTTATCCTAGACATATATGTATCCCAGAAGAGAAATGAAGGTTTCTCTGTATGGTTTTTTAGTTGTTTTCTTCCTGTTTTCATGTATTTTAAGTCTTTAGCTTCTGAAAGGAAACACAATTATATGAAGACAGAAGCCATGTTTATGCAAGATATGCAATTTTGTCTTTATGCCAGACACTCAATTTTTATATGCATAAATGGATAATCTAGGCCAAAACTCTTCTTTGACTAAAGAAATATCAACATAGTATTTCACTAAGAAGCACAAATGAAAGGTCCGAAACTGAGACTTCAAGGCTAATATTCTACATTCTGGCGGGTTTCTAAATTAGTAGTCATGAGGACCCAATTGTGTGTATAATTGCCTGACTGCATAATTTTTTGGTTTAAGGGCCACAGAATTACAAAAATTGAACTATTAGCTGGTTTTAGCCTCCCCATGAAGTAAAGCCCACATATTTTGATATATTTTGTGTTCTTTTTTAAATGACATTTTACATATTACAATAAAGAAATTATCCTGTGCAATCTTCCCCTTTTGTATGTGCCCCCTTAGCACCTGTTTTAGTTTCCTAGGGCTGTCCAAACAACGTATTAAAGACAAGGTGGCTTCAAATAAAAAACATTTATTTTCTCATAGTTCAGAAGGCAAGCAGTCCATTGAAATGTTATTTGGGTTGATTCCTATTGGAAGCTTTCAGAGAGAACCTGTTCTTCTACTCTTTTCATTTCTGGTGGTTGCTAGCAATCCTTGATGTTCCTTGGCTTGTAGACCCATCACTCCAATCTCTGCCTGTGTCTTCACATGGCCTTCTCTCCTGTGAGTGCCATTGTCCAGATTTCTCTCTTATGAGCACACCAGTTAATCAGATTAGGGCCCACCATAACCCAATATGACCTCGTTTTAACTTGATTATATCTGCAAATACCCTATTTCCAAACAAGGTCACATTCACATGTACTGGGGTTAGGACAGCAACGTATCTTTTTAGGTGACACACTGGTACTCAAAGTGATACATTGGAAGTAAAGTTTTATACTAAGACAAAGCCCATGGTTGAATGGACAATCAATGAAATGCTATTTATGCATTAGTTCCATTACTGCAAACCTTAAACAACTATTCAAAATACTGTTTTCTCTAGAATACTGGCTTGAAAGATTCAGTGACAGATTGGCACATGAAAATCTCATGGATAATATGATGATTTCATATTATTGATATTTGTTGTAATAAGACTTAAAAAACTGGTGGTTTTAGTGGTCTAAGTAGTTGGTAAACACTAAGAAAATGAGTCGGATGTACTCTGTGGCCAGAGGATTCTGAACTCAGAACTTCCCATTCCCCAAGTTTGCTTGAAGAAATTTAAGGCTGGTTCACGAAGCTACAGCAGAGGAAACAGACTGAAGTAGGGGTAGGGCCCGAGGGTTGGCATTGAGGACACCAGTGACATTACTCTTAGGTAAGGGCAGCTCTGCTCTGCTATCTTATCCAGCTACTGATGTGCTGAAATGCTTGGGTGAAGACTTCTATGTATCCTCAGCCAACATCCAAGTGCCCTGAGGAATATGGGGATCTACATGAGAAACAGAAGCCTACATATTAGGGTCTGTCTCTTGGCAGCAGAGAAAGTAGAACCGAGGGGAGGATTCCATTGCTGTAAAGGCTCTGCCAATAAAGGGTAATGTGGAAGATGCCCTGCAAACAGCTCACTAAGGAAGCATGAAGAGTTCTCCAACCAGGACCCCCATGTTATTGGCAAATACTCATGGTCATATATTGAGAAGCTGTTGAGAAACCATTACTTGCTTAATGAAGGGAAACATCTATGAATTTTTCAACACTATCAATTAAGACTTTCTTATCATCTGCACTGGCTTATATACCTATACATTAAGGAATTGAGAGCTATTTGCTAAGCTCTCCAGTGGAGAAATTTTCCCCGGGTATCCCAGGGGAGTATTGAGCAAAGGAGTGTTTCACTCAAATGAAGTGGGCCAGGTCTTTTGTGCCAAGGACAAATCACCTGAATGTTATTCTATGGTATGCAAAATTTCACATAGATTTTTAATATATACTTTTTTATGGGGGATAAAAGTCCGTAAGCTTTCTTTGATATTTAAATATCTTCATGGCATAAAAACATACACATAAAAGTATCTAATTCATGAGAATGTGTGGTCTGACCCTTACCTACCCCTACTTTTCTGACCTTTTTTTCAGTCTCCTTTGAGTTCAGTGAACTCTTATTCCCCATGGGCTCCTTCTCATACTTCAAACCTTAAACTTCATTTTTTTGGACTTTCTAATCTAAAACAGATTCTCTCCTTCCTGATTATTCTCTGCTCAGTTCTCCATTAGTTTCTTTTAAAACACTTGTCAAAGCATATACGTAGTTGATTTTTATTCTATCTCCCAAAGGCAAGAGTCTTTGTCTATTTTATTTGCTTCCAAATTTCACATGCCTAGCACAGTCCCCATACATAAAAGTTATTCAGGAAATACTTGTATACCAAATACATGGATAAACATTCTCTAATATGCAGTAGATTTATAGAATCATAATCCTAAAAGACATTTCTAGATACTCAGTTTTTTAGCAACATTAGCAATTATTTATCCTGATGAAATCAGTGACTGTACCTATAATTTCAGCTTAATTTACCTTTGCAAAAGACATGGTTTCTTGAATTTTTTTCCAATCCAGATATTAGCAAGCAGTGAAGCAAACACTAAACTTAAATGAAAATTAGGGAATATTTTCTTCAACATAATACAACTTGCAAAACATAAGTGAGCCCCAAAATATTGTTATTAATGTCTGCATTTCCAAGCATGTAGAAACATGATGTATTCTGTTGCTGCTTTATGTAATAACCTCAAATCTAATGGGAATTGATTCACAAAACAGTACACTCAGAAAAAGGCAGTCAAGAAAGACTGACCTCATGCTCAATTTATTTGGTTGCTAAGTCTTTCTGTGCCTTTCTTCCTTCTTTCCTTTCCTCCTTTCTTTCTAAACCTACCCACATTAGCCTGACTTTAAACACTTTTGAATTTCCAGTTAGTCAGATAGGATATGTGAATCTGTATCTTTGTACTTACCCGAATTCATTGTTTTTCTTCTTCTTTAGCAGCTTTTTTTCAGGAAAATATTAACCATGAAACAATTGACCATTCATTCAGGGCAATTCTGATACTCAAGACAGCTGTCACTGATGTAATGGCATTTTAACTGAAGCAACAGAAAGCTTGCTTTAGACAGATTATTATTCCTTCATATAAGAATAAATTGTAACTGCACCTCAGAAAAGACTGTTAAAGCTTGATTACCCAAGAAATATTTCACAAAAATGATTTTTTCTCCAGTCCATTGCTTTAGGAAATGTCCTAATTTTTCAGTCAAAGGTGCCTCAATTGATTGCACAATTTGCTTAGATTATAGCTATACCTGTAGACATCTGAGTTCAATAAAATATTATTCTAGGCTGGGCACAGTAGCTGTGTTAGGCTGTTCCCACACTGCTATGAAGAACTGCCCGAGACTGGATGATTGATAAAAGAATGAGGTTTAATTGACTGACAGTTCCACATGGCGGGGAGGCCTCAGGAAACTTACAATCATGGCGGAATGGGAAGCAAACAGATACTTCTTCACATGTCAGTAGGAGAGACAAGTGCCAAGCAAAGAGGGACAAGCCCCTTTTAAGACCATCAGATCTCATGAGAAGTCACTCAGTATTATGAGAACAACAGCATGGGAGTAACTGTTCCCCTGAGTCAATTAACTCTCTCCAGGTCCCTCCCATGACACTTTGGGATTATGGGAACTACAATACAAGATGAGAGTTGGGTGGAGACACAACCAAACCATATCATTCTGTCCCTGGCCCCTCCCAAATCTTATGTCTTCACATTTTAAAACACAATCATGCCTTCCCAACAGTCCCCCAAAGGCTTAACTCATTTCAGCATTAACTCAAAAGTCCAAATCCAAAGTCTTACCTGAGACAAAGCAAGTCTCTTCCACCTATGAGCCTGTAAAATCAAAAGCAAGTTAGTTACTTAATAGATACAGTGGATGTACAGCATTGTGTAAATGTTTCCATTCCAAATGGGAGAAATCAGCTAAAACAAAGGGGCTACAGACCCTATGCAAGTCTGAAATACAGTGAGGCAGTCAAATCTTAAAGCTCCAAAATGATCTCTTTTGATTTTATGTTTCACATTCAGATCACACTGAGGCAAGGGGTGGGCTCCTACAGCCTTGGGAATCTTTCCCCCTGTGGCTTTGCAGGATGCAGCCTCCTTCTGGTTTCCTTCACTGGCTGGCATTGAGTGTCTGTGACTTTTCCAGGTACATGGTGCAAGCTGACAGTGGATCTACTGTTCTGGAGTCTGGAGGATGGTGGCCCTCTTCTTTAGGCAGTGCCCCAGTGGGGACTCTGTGTTGGGGCTCTAACTCCACATTTTCCTTCCATACTGCCCTAGCATAGGTTATTCATGAGGGCTCTGCCCCTGCAGAAAACTTCTGCCCTGACATACAGGCATTTCCATATATCCTCTAAAATCTAGGCAGAGATTCCCAAACCTCAATTCTTGACTACTGTGCTCCTGCAAAACCAACGCCACATGTAAACTGCTAAGGCTTGGGGCTTGCACCCTCTGAAGCAATGGCCTGATCTATAAGTTGGCTTCTTTTAGCCACAGCTAGGACACAGGGCACCAAATCTTGAGATTGCACAAAGCAGCAAGGCCTTGGGGCCAGCCCATAAAATCATTTTTTTCCTCATAGGCCTCCAGGCCTGTGATAGGACGGACTGCTGTGAAAACCCTCTAACATGTCCTGGAGACATTTTCCCCATTGCCTTTGTGATTAACATTTGGCTCCTCATTACTTATGTAAATTTCTGTAGCCAGCTTGAATTTCTCCTCAGAAAATGGGTTTTTCCTTTCTATCACATCATCAGGCTGCAAATTTTCTGAACTTTTATGCTCTGCTTCCCTGTTAAGCGTAAGTTCAAATTCCAAACCATATATTTGTGAATATATAAAACTGAATGCTTTTAGCAGCACCTAAGTTATACCTTGAACACTTTGTGGGTTAGAAATTTCTTCCACCAGAGACCCTAAATCATCTCTCTCAAGTTCCACAGCTCTCTAGGGTGGGGGCAAAATGCTGCCAATCTCGTTGCTAAGACTTAGCAAGAGTGACCTTTACTCCAGTTCCCAAGAAGTTTCTCATCTCCATTTGAAATTACTTCAACCTAGACATCATTGTCCATATCACTATCAGCATTTTGGTCAAAGCCATTTAACAGGTCTCTAGGAAGTTCCAAACTTTCCCACATCTTCCTGTCTTCTTCTGAATCATCCACACTGTTCCAAACTCTGCTTGTTATCGAGTTCCAAAGCCACTTCCACACTTTTAGGTATTCTTATAGCAGCATCTTGCTCTCTGCAGTACTAATATACTGTATTAGTTTGTTCTAATACTGCTGTGAAGAACTGCCCAAGACTGGGTAATTTATAGAGGAAAGAGGTTTAATTGACTCACAGTTCCACATGACTGGGGAGGCCTCAGGAACTCACAATCATGGCAGAAGGGGAAGCAAACATGTCTTCCTTTACATGGCAACAGGAGAGAAAGGTGCCAAGCAAAGAGGGAAAAATTCCTTTTAAAACCATCAGATCTCATGAGAACTCAGTATCACTAGAAGAGCAGTATGGGGTAACCATCCCCATGATTCAATTACCCCTCACTGGATTCCTCCCATGACATGTGGAGATTATGGGAACTACAATTCAAGATAAGATTTGGGTGGGGACACAGCTAAATCATATCTGTGCACTTGTAAGCCCAGCACTTTGGGAGGCCACGGCGGGAGGTTCAGTTAAGCCCAGGACTTCAAGGCTGCATTGAGCTATGATTATTTCTGCAGTGTAGCCTGGGTGATGGAACAAGATCTTGTCTGTCTCTCTTGTCTTTGTGTCTATGTCTCTCTGTCTCTTTCTCTCTATAAATATATATGTGTGTGTGTATAACATATATACATAAATGTATTATTTTAGAGCTAAGTTTATATTTATCTCTGACTGATTCTTCTATAGACAATGCAAAGAACTACATTTAAAAAATTATAAATAACATTCTTTTTCTGAAAAAACCACTACATGATCACTGTAGAAAATACTAAATATGTCAATAAACAAAACCAAAGAATTAAAGCGTGCACTAATAAAACTGTGATGAACATCCTTTCAATGAAATACATTTAGCCATTTTGAATTTTCTTTTTAAATTTTTTAAATTGACAATTAAAAGTTACATATATTTATGGTGTACAACATGTTTTGCTATTTGTATACATTGTGGAATGGCTGAATAAAACTATTCAATATATGCATTACCTCACATATTTATCATTTTGTTGTTGTGATAACACTTAGTCTACTCTCTTAGCAATTGTTAGGTATACAATATGCTGTTATTAACTGTGTTCCCCATAATGTACAGTAGATTTCTTGAAATTATTTCTTCTGTGTAACTGAAATTTTGTATCCTCCGATCACCTCCACAATACACCCACTCCCTAGCTTTGGTAGCCACCATTCTGCTCTCTGTTTCTAGGAGTTGCATTATTTCTCTAGAATAAATTTCTAGTGTGTAGAGATTTTCATATTATACATGTTTAAAACTATATATTGATAGTTGCTTATTATGAATGAACCAAATGTCACTTTTCTTTGTAACAGTCTAAGATATTGGGATAAAGAATAAAGCCAAACCAACGGAAAGAGCTAGAAAGGGTAACTTATTCCAAAGTATATTAACCAGGGAAAAAAGTCCAACTCAGTCCTTTAAAGCATGTTAACTTAATTACAATTATGTTCAAGCTCCATAAGGACAAAGATTTCTGTTCACTACTTAATTATCTGCTCCCAGAGCAGAACCTGCCATATAATAATACTGAAAAATCATTTGTTGAATGTTGGATGAAGTAATCAAGAAAGTATAATAAAACTATGGTTTGTATGCAGTTTAGAGCTCATTTTGGCACTATAATCTAAATAACTAGAACTTTTTCATTTGTATCTTTTATGTTTGAAACCCACAGATACTTACTTTTGGTTAACATGTGAGGAAACCAGGGCCTATATGTATTAATCTCTCTGGCTTTTCTTGCACTAATAGTCCAGCAAAATTAAGAATAGAATTGACCCACACAAATGAGAGATAAGTCATAAATCAACTGATATTTACTAGCTAAAGAGATTTAAAATTGGGACCTATATTTTATATATGACTTACTAGAAAATGATTCTTGAAACAAAGTGATTTTAAAAGGTGGAAAAACTGCACTGAAGCTCTATGTATAGCATTGCATCTGGGTCTGATTATTGTGTACTCTGAGTTATGTTGCCAATTTAACTTCATTCTCATTTAGATTCTTTATCTAGTAGCCTCTGGGCTTATTTATATTTTCTGTTTAGGTTAAATAAAGATAATTAAAAAATATTTCCCCATGCTCAACTTGAAAATAAATGTTAATCACTCATTTTCATAATGGAAGATGCCATTTTGAGATTTTTTGAACCAAAATGTAGTTTAACTATTTGGTTAAGTGTCAGTTTTAATTTTTTTCTCTCATCTGGAAAGGTCCCAGTAATTCTGCATACTGCATGGTACTCCTATGCTCTTTTTCCAGCAAGAGTAGGCAAAGCAAAACAAGCAAAACAAAAAACAACGACAAAAATCTAGCAGCTGACAAGTGCCCCCAGCCACTGATAGCTGCTCCAAGGGGAACTTTTCCAGCTTCCTTTTGGAAAACTCTAGTTTTTCTGTAATATTGCACACTGTCTTAAAGTTTATCATTATCACTATTCTTCAGTCCAATAGAGTTTATCTGTCATTATTCTTCAGTCCAATAAAACTTTAGTTAAAATCAGGCAACCTGATTAAAATCAGACAGGAGTAAACTGCCAATTTTGAGTTTAAATGTAGTCAAATATTACTGATCTTGATTGCAGAGTTTTTTGGTACTCCCTTAATTTCACACACAAGGCAGGTAGGTGCCTCCCTCACCTCTAGTCATGGCCCCCACTGCTCTCCTACCCAGAGAACAACAATTATATATCCTCTGAGGTCTCTGATAGACTAGTGTTGAAGCCTCAGCTAAACATCACTCTATTTCTCTTCTTAACTCCCAGTTTAATTTTTTTTTTAATTTAAATTTCAGTACATATGCATGTCATGAAAAGCCAGTAAACAAAAAAGAATTACTGACCCTATTTCTTTGCTGCTTCTTAACTGCAGAAATCCTGTAGGTTAATTATACACTGATTGTTTAAGAAACTCAGAAGTTTAATGTTAGAAGTGAATGTTTGCCTTCTCCCTTAAGACAGAAAAAATGAAAGTTGATGTCCATCCTCAGGTCCAAGACACTTCCCACGTACACCTTCAATCTCTACATTGGTCTAAGTTGAAGGACTTGTGATCCTAATAGAGACTTACAGCTCAAAAACGAGTACAATGAGAGCTCTGGGTGAATTAGGCCTGGGACAAGCTGCTATCTTAAACAGAATTCTGATTTTTTTTTAAGTCTGTGCACTGAAAGGGAGTCTAAACAATAAAAGGCTATCTTGGCATAAGTGGTTCCAGTTAGTGGCTTGCTTATTCTTTAAAGCTGACCATTGCTATTGTGGAAATGGAAGAAATATAACTCCCAAGTTGACATGGCATAGGAATGGTAGAATACCTAACCTAAAACGTCGTGGTAGGCTAAAATTGGAAGTTCATTGCATACAGTTGTAAATACATTTAAAAGGTTCCAAGATGGCTGAATAGGAACAGCTCTGGAGTACAGTTCCTAGTAAGAACAATGTAGAGGGTGCGTGATTACCACATTTCCAAATGAGTTATTACTGCCAACAGACCAGGAGATTCCTGGGCTGGAAAGTGCCACAAGTTTCCAGCATGGCTGTTTGAGCCATGGCACAGTGGGTCTCCACACAAAAACTCACACAAATCTGGGCGGCTGTTTCAACTGGTGCCTGGAACACCTGAGAGATAGAGCCTCCCATTCAACTGAAAAAAAGGGGGCTGAAACAGGGAGCCAGGTGATCTGGCTCAGTGGGTCCCACCCCCGCAAAGACCAGCAATCCAAAATGCTCTGGATTGAGAGTTTTTCAGAAAGCTCAGCTGGACCTGGGTTGGTCCAGCTCTGTGGGGGGAAGGATGTCTGCCATTACTGGAGCAGTCTACCACTACCAAGGCAGTCTGCCATTACCGAGGTAGACTTCCATTACAGAGGCAGTTCTAACTATACCTCTGTAAAGAAAATCACAAGGAAGTTCACACAGTAGCTGGGCAGAGCCCATGGCAGCTCAGAAACACCTCAGCAGGCAGACTGTGACTAGGCTTCCTCCTTGTTGGGCAGGGCATCTCTGAAAAAGACAGTAGACTGTCAGGAACTTACAAATAAAGCCTCACTTTCCCAGGACAGAGCACCTGGGAAAAAACGTGGTTATGAGTTCCGCTGCAGCAGACTTAAATGTACCTGCCCAGCAGCTCTGAACGGAACAACAGAGCTCGCAGCTCAGCACTTGAGCTACTGTAAAGGACAGACTGTCTCCTCAAGCAGCTCCCTGAGCCCCATGTATCCAAAGACACACTTCATAAAGGAGAGCTCAGGCTGACATCTGGTGGGTATCCTTCTGGGATGAAGGTAATAGAAGAAGAAACTGGCAGCAACCCTTACTGTTCTACAGCCACTGCAGGTGAGCCCCAGGCAAGCAGGGTCTGGAGTGGACCTCCAGCAGTCCTGCAGCAGAGAGGCTTGACTGTTAGAAGGGGCGCTAAAAAACAGAAATAACTTCAACATCAACAAAAAGGACGTCCATTCTGACATCCTGAGACCCCATCCAAAAGTCACCAACTACAAATACCCTAGGTAGATAAATCCACAAAGATGGAAAGAAACCAGATCAGAAAGGACAAAAACACCAAAAACCAGAATGCCTCTCCTGTTCAAAGGGATCACAACTCCTCACCAGCAAGGGAACAAAGCTGAATAGAGAAAGAATCTGATGAATTGACAGAAACAGGCTTCAGAGGGTGGGTAATAACAAACTTCTCTGAGCTAAAAGAACATGTGCTAACCCAATGCAAAGAAACTAAGAACCTTGAAAAAAGGTTAGATGAAATACCAATTAGAATAAACAGCTTACAGAAGAATATAAATTACTTGGAGCTGAAAAACACAACACAAGAACTTTGCAAATCATACACAAGTTTCAATAGCCTAATCGATCAAGCAGAAGAAAGGGTATCAGAGATTGAAGATCAACTCAATAACATAAAACAAAAAGGAAAAATTAGAAAAAAAGAGTGAAAAGAAATGAACAAAGCCTCCA